TCATTGCTTGAATCACTGTTATTTGGGAATTCTGTTACTTGCAGCCATAAACTCCTAAATGATCCTACAGTGAATCTCTCAAAGACAATAGAACATATGGGGATTTTCCAAACTCACTCGACTTTTTATTTTTGAGATAATTGAACATTTTTTGTTGCTTAGATCTATATTGTTACTTGAAGCCCAAAACATTAGTTAATACAATAGTACAAAATAAAAGCAAACAAACAAAAAAACAGTTTCAATAATAAAGTTTTAAATGTTTCTTTTTAAATTGAGGTATGTGGCATTTATGGATAAGTACATGGGTAAAAACTCTAGGGAATATGAGAAGCAACATGACACATAAAGTTCCAGATTTGTTCTGCCAAAATTAAGTAATTAAAAAGATGTATTAAAAATGAATATATAATGGAGTAGAATATACATATCTTTAAAAATAAAAGATAATTTAAGGACATTTTAGCTGGAGATGAGAAGGGGTGTCAGGAGGAGAGCCTGCCCAATGATTAATGCTTTCATTCAAGTCATTTAAAATTAACTATCTATATGACTGGATCAGATTCAACAAATATTTATTCAATGATCATGTGGGCCAGATGCTCGGCTATACACTGAGGGTACAAAGGTGAACCAGATAGACATGGACACATAACTAACATCAAAGGTTATGGTAGAAAAGGTTTTATGGAACCAAGGAGCAGGAGAAAGGAACGTATTCTAGAGGGATGGAGAACTCCCAGTGGATATGACAATTAAACTAAGCCCTAAAAGGTAAAAAAGAGTTTGCCTAGACAAGATATGGGGTGAGCATGGAGTCAGGGAAGAGGGAGAGTATTCCAGGCAGAAACAGAAATATGTACTAGGTTCTAGTGGCTAGAAAAATGGTTCAAGGATCTGAATTTATGCTAAGTGCAAGGTAAGGCCTTGTAAGGGCTTTTTGCACAGGATGAATTGAACAGATCTGTCTTTGAATAAGAACACTGTGGCTGTGGAATGCAGAACAGATGGGGGAGTGGTGGCAATTAAGAGTTCAGGGAAGCAGTTCCATGGACTATTTAGAAGACTGGTGACTAACTAGGTATGGGCATGGTGAGGTAAAGGGAGAATTCAAGTATCAGGTTTACCATGGAGTGACTGGATATATGAAGATGGCTTACTGAGGAGGGAGCAAACATTACAGCATGTTTTAGTTACGTGTTTATGTGAAGTAATGGTGATAGGCTGGGGGGAGGGAGATTTTGTTTTTACTTTTAGAAGAAAGTAGGAGAGAACACATAAGCCAGATGTAAGAGATGTTCTGAAGGAGAATAAAACCGTTAATTACATTACAAAATAAATCTTTTGAGAGCTTGAATATACAATGTAACCTGTGAGCCCCAGAACTCAATGGGACTGCCTTGTTTTCCCAGGCCTCTCAAGTTTTCCACATCCGACAGAGTACAGACTTACCACTTTTCTATCGCTAACTACTCAGTGTAAAATATTTGAGTTTTCCTTCTCTGACAGGGTTCCACCTTACAGAGGTTTCAGCTTTCACAGGTTTTACCATATTTATTAGGTCTTGGATTCAGTTTTCCCCTTTCAAAAATGGGAACAATAGTACTTGTCCCAAAAAGCTATACCTGTGGGTGTAGTCTGGACACCATGATGGATGAGTCATTATAATATTATTTTTATTATATGTAAGTAGAATACTATATTAAGTTATTATTTATTAGTATAAATAAGTATAAAACAATAACCTATTAATCTTATGTTACAGTATTACTGCTGTGTCAGTCCTGACTGCCTGACCGTACATTTCACTGCCCTGAAGGCCAAGATGGTATATAATTGGTCATCATTCTAGTACAATGATTCTCAACTGAGGATCAATTTTGTCCCCACTCCAGGAGACATTTAGCAATGATGTCCAGAGACAGTTTTAGTTGTCACAACTGAGGGGGGTGGTGCTACAGTAAATAGTGGGTACAGGCCAGGGATACTGCTAAACATTATCCAATGGAAAGGACTGCTTCTTACAACAAAGAATTATCCATTCAACATGGCAACACTGCCAAGGTTGAAAGCCCTCCTCTAGTAGTATCCAGGTATCCTTCAGTTAAAGCTTCAAATACCACAGAATTCAGTTTCTCCTCCAAAGTAGTCAAATTAGCCATGTATCCTTTTGAAACCTGGTAGAACAGACTACTCATACAAGCAGCCCAGAGTTCCTGAAGACTTTAAAGTTTCTCTTGATACTCTAAAAAGGTGAAAATTTTTGTCCTGGAATATACTCCCATGGCCACTAACCAAGGTCAGCCATGAAGGCACTAGAAAGTAGTACTGCATGTCCTACAAAGCTGAGTTGGCCACATATCCCAGCAATCTTGGAACGTAGTCAGCATAAACCATCTGCTACTCTGGATCAGGGGAGGAAGAGTTACTGTCCTCCCGAGCAGACTGACTCAGTAGCTGGGAAGTCTCCCTGAAGCTGAAAACCACCGGCGGTCCAGCAGATAAGCTTCCTGACTGAATCACAGAATTACAGTAAGGCAGTGGGTGGCTAGATCAGTCCAAAAGAGCCAGCACAGGTAGCTATCCTTTCTCTGTACCCCATAGTCAAGACTAAATTATTGCCTTCCTTAAAGGTATTGCATCTCTTGGCTGCTGCCTCTGGCATGTAAGGCATTTGCAGTTGCCTCCTTGAAACGATCATGTAAATATGGCTGTGCATACTGTACATTTTTAACAAGGCTGGTAATCAACTCTCTGTGGTCTGCTCATCACTCTCACCACATATTCAGGTCATAAACAACTTGGGTCTCTAACGTTATTCCCTTAGATAAGAGGACTCCAGAAATCTGGTAAGAGATTTGTCAAAAGCAAGTAAATCCCAATTTTGGTAAAGACAAAGTTAGGTACTCAGGTTACCCTTTCAACTGGAGCTGAATATTTTTTCTTTCCTTTATTACTAATACAAGTTTAGATACACTTGAAATAGCTAGGATACCTGGGACTGGGACAACAAGGAAAGTAACATGGAATTTAATGGCAAAATGTCCCTTGGAGGGCAAAAAATGCTGCTAAGCAGAACAGCATATACCTTAATTCTAATTTTCAAAGTCTGTATTGATTGGGTAGCTCTGTACAAGTCCATGAATAAAAGTTGTACTGTGCTGGCTTAAATAACCGTGCTTCCATGAATGTCACTGAAGATATCATAATCAAAACTACATATATCTTTAAAATTGATTTGGTGCTGTTAATGTATGTTTTTTCATTACAATAAAAAGTTTAGTTAAAGCATTTGGCATTTGGTTCATTGAGACAGAACAAATATTTCAACAGCTGGAAGATGTTAAAAGTCAAGAGTTCTGGTATTTGAAGAGACATGTATAATTACTCCTTCCTAAAAACAAAACATCTCCAAAAAAGTAAGGAAGCATGTTATCTTATAGGAAATCAATAAAACATATAAATATAAAATTATAATTCTGCTTCAATCTTTACTTACAAAATTTACTTAGCTACTAAAACTATTCAAATTGACCCAGGTATGAAAAATAATTCCTCCTTGGAGATATGAAAACACTATTTTCCTAAGTATGAAAAATCAACATCATCGTCTTTATGTACTTGGGAGCTCTGGTAGCATAGTGGCTAAGACACTTGCCTGCTAACCAGACGGCTGGTGGTTCAAACCCACCAGCCACTCCTCGGAAGGAAGGTTGGGCAATCCTACTTCCGTAGTGATACTGCCTCGGAGAACCAAGGAGGGGTCAGGGCCGACTCGACGGCACATAACAACAACAACAACATAGTAAAATTTACATGATGACTTTTTATGGTAAACCATACAAAGTTTCCATTTCAGTTACACAGTCAAGCAGCTGAAATAATTCACAATATGGTTTGATTAAAAAGCACAAAAAGAAAAAAAACTTCTATTTCAATTTTGTGAGAATTTTTAAGTTAGAAAGAGAGCAACTCAGAAGTAGAATTTAAACAAATATTTCATTTTCTTTTAAAACTTGACATTTATTTTGTATTTTCATGGAGATCTATTTCTCCAATTCTCTTCACTCTGCCTAAACTGTACCTTAGGAACTATCCCTGCTCCTATCATATGCCATCAATTCAGCCCGCCATCTTTTCCTTCACATGGGGAAAAAACACACTACAGATTTATGCTTTTACTCTAAGTTAATATTCTAGGAAAAAATGGAATATTTATGTAAGACCAGCAGGAAAATATTTTACAATCCCATATATTGAGTACATTTAATAAAGAATGGTCCCTAGAGAATGGCAGAGCTGAGGGATGGAAGTGTGTGTATGTGTGTGTTGAGAGACAGAGAGAGAAAGGACAGTGCAACAAAACAAATACTGTAAAGAAAGGCCTTCTACAGTATTCCTTCTGGACATCTCCCTGGAGCTAGACGTGAACACGGCCAGAATTCTAAACTGTGAAGAATGAACATTCTGCCAACCAACTGATTTATTTTATACCCTTCAGAAAGGAAAAGAGCTAATACCTTCTCAGTCATGGGGAAATCATTTAGACTAATAATCATTAAGAGAATGGATTTTAAGTTAAGCCACAAGGAGCCCCAAAAGTTGACCCCCAAAATATCCTCAATCTGAGCAACTGCTACCTCTTTTATACAAACGTTCTAGGGCAGAAGCAAGTTAAAATACACTCATTGGGACTAATACTTCCCCACAGAAGTCACCAAAATTGAGTGATGTAAACGTGAAAAATGATTAGAACAGTGGCCTGCACAGTGTAAAAGCACAGCAGAGGTGGGCCAGAATGATGATGTGGGTGATGGGCTAAGTCATACTGGTATAGAAAATTACATGTGAAAGTGACACTGATGTTACTGTAATTCGATTTGTAGAGACTACACAGCTAACATCTCAAGATTTTAAAGGGTGGCTACCCCTAACAGTCATCTGAATTACAGAACTTTAAAACTGGGATGTAAAACCAGCACCATCAGAAAAAGACTCACCTCTTCTTCTTAGTGATAATGAGAACATCATTGAAGAGAAAGAAGTAGACTTGCTGTTTGGATGTCCTTTTTGAGAAAAGCACAGTGTCTTCTACATAGGCTGTCAATTCACCTCTTTTTACCAACCAGCGGGAAGAGGAGACTAAAGGAAAGGGCTACAAAAACAGAAGTTCAACATCTGAGGCCAAGTTAAAGTCTTTTGGTAACTATCAAAAGTAGAATATAAAACTTACATTAAAACAAATGATACATATTGTGGTATTTTGTAGTATTGTGGTATTTTATTTTGTGATGTGTAATAAAAAATGTGTAAAAAAATACATATTGTGGTATTTTATTTTGTAGATGTGTAATAAAAAAAATCAACCAGTTGCCGTGGAGTTGAGTCTGACTCATGGTGACCCCATGTGTGTCAGAGCAGAACTTGTGTTCCATATGGCTTTTCATTGGCTGTTTTTTCAGAAATAGACCACCAGGGCTTTCTTTCAAGGCACCTCTGGGTGGATTCAAACTACCAACCTCTCAATTAGAAGTTAAGTACGTTAACCATTTGTACAACCCAAAGAAACAAAGGCACCTTATTAAATATATAATCAGAGAAGTGCAGTGCATTCTCTAGGAGAATGAATGAAAAAGAACAATGTATTTCCAATATAAAAACTATCAATTTTCCAATATAACAACTAAAATACAATGAGAAAACATTATTGGGATCACCAAAAACCAGGACTCTTTCAGTAACCTTCAACTGAAAAAGAAGATTGATACAAAATCACTTAAAATTGAAAAGCTCACTAATGAAATCTATTAGTACAAACTGTGGTTATTTTAAAGATCTCAAGACAGAATCTAAACATCCTGAAAAACATAGACAACTACAGTTAATACGTTCACATTTATCTTATAAACTAAAAAGATTTTATTCTAGAGAGAGAGGGAAATATTCCACAAACTTCTGTTTTGTTTACTGGTCATGCATTTAGCCGTACTCTTGAGAACGTATGTCTTGAAGTTTATGGTAATTTGTACCGTGGAAGTTCATCTCTGAAAGCATCAGGCCACTTTCTCTAGTTGTGAAGATGAAGTTCTTCCAAAATGCTGATGGTGTACTACCTAAGGCATCTGACTGCTAACCAGCAGACTGGCGGTTCAAATCCATCAACCACTCCACAGAAGGAAGGTTGGACAATCTACTTCCATAATGATACCACCTCGGAAATCCAAGGAGGGTCGCTATGAGTCGGAGCGACTCAACGGCACTGAGTTTGTTTTTTTTGATTTTTGGAATCTCATAGAAAAGGCTGTCTCCAAAGCATACATACTGTTTCCCTTTATTCAGTCTTGTATAAGCCAACTAAATCTCAAAACTACAGGATATTCCTTACCCTTGAGAGTGCTCCCTCTCCCTCTCTCTCCTGTTCTTAAGATATCAGAAATACTTACTGCCAAAACTCTGATGTAAAAAACCCAATATCTATAAAAGAAGCAAAAATTCTTGGACACACAGAATGGTAAATGTGGTAGTTCAGTTTGTGTGTCAACTTGGCTGGGCCTGGTTGAGTTGCTGGGCAGCTGGTGGTAGTTATTGCCATGATGAGACTGGCAATCAACTCCATGGTGGGCTCTACCACAGGCAGCTGAGTAGCTGCCTTTGAGATGTGGTCTGCTTCCTGTATGTAAGGAGAAGCCTTGGGGATAGTCTCTAGCTTATGGCACCTTGAACCCTGCATGCAGCCGTGTCATTGTTCAGCAGCCTGCCATGCTCTGCCAACCTTGGGACTTACAATGGACTTGAATTAATGGACTGCCATGTAGTTTGGTAACATCGAGACTGTGCCATTTAACTTGTCAACCTTGTGCTTGTCAGCCTCAGCAGCCAGGAGCTGTCTGAGTGAAGAAAAGCCTCTAGCATCAGTGGGCTGGGAGCTGGAGGCAGAGTTGAAGCCCAAGGCTAAGGGGCTTTCACCCAGCCCCTACAACCTGGCATTTTTAACTCAGACTTAAAGCCTCCAAAGCGTAAGAGAATAAACTCCTGTTTCTTAAGGCCATCCTATTTGTGGTATATTCTTGTCAGAGTGGCACCAGGTAACCACAACAATATAGTACAACCTAATGCCCCTCTTTTCAGGTGATAATGATGGAAAAGAGCTAAAGGAAATTGGAGATATTAGGGAGGAAAGGAGAAGGTTATGAACACCTTAAATTTAAGGTAATTTTTCCCATAGAAGCTCATCCCTGAAAGCATTGCACCACTTTCTGGCTGTGAAGGTCAAGTTCTTCCAAAATAATCCATCATAATCTCATATCAAAGGCTGTATCCAAGGAATCACACATGCTTTCATACGATTACACATGATTTCAAGCATTTTTTAACTTTAAAAAGGACTTCTTTAAGACGGTTTTTGATCATACTATTTTTCTGAAGGTTTGAAAACAAAGATGAAAGATTGTGGCTGACTCTTAACTTTCAAAACTGCCTATTAAGGCAGTTCATGGAGTTTTCAGTTTCAAAATCTTGAATCAGAAAGTTATCCAATAGCTGAGACATTAAAGACCAAAAGACAGAGATGGTTTCGATAACTCTGGAGGACCTCCCAGCACACACAAGAGGTCACCATAAAGAATCATGTGGCAGGTTAGATACAACCAAAGGGGTATAATTACTGGGAACACAGTGCTCTCTTGCATCACGTACAGGATGAACCAAGGACATATTACGGTTAAGTTTTACGGTGCATGTCACCCTATGACTTTTCTTAATTTAGGAAATGGAGGAAGAAAGGGTGTTCTGCTGTTACATTGTTTTAAAGCGGATTGATTTTTTATGGAAGTCTCATCCTCTTCTAAGGCAAAAGTAAATTTCTAAAAAACCACCTAAAATTACCAGTGGCTTTCAGTATGTCTATGCTTCTTTTGAAAATAAAAATCTTTTATTATAAAACTTTCATTTCAGAATTTATTTCTAGAAGATTAAAATCATTTTGATTTTTTTCTGAGTACAAACCAAAAGCTATAAAAAATTCATGAACAAAAATGAATCTTAAACACCACTGAAATAATTTCTACAGAGAAGAGGTTTTCCATGATCTTTTGTGTTACTTGGCGTCCTAGAAAACTAACTTCATCATACACTTTAACTACTTTTATGGGCCAGAGGGACAAGGGGGAGCTGCTCTGGAACAAAGACTTTTTAACATCTTAAGAGTTCCTTCTGGTGCCTGTTGTATCTTAGAATTCCACTTGTTAGCAAGGCCCCAAGCACCAATCAGCAAATTCATCCAGGAACCAACATTCCACAACCTCACTCAATCACTTAATTTATGGCTTTTTTTTAAAAAATAGCTGAATGACATCATCTTATTTAAGTACACCACAGTCTGTGTAATCAGTCCTTTACCGATAAACATTTAGGTTGTTTTGACTCTTTTGCAATTTCAAATAATTATATGAATAATCTTGTATACATATAATTTCACATATATATTTATGGGTGTATCTGTGTCAGAGTAGAACTGTACTCCATAGGGTTTTCAATGGACACAAATAAACAAAACATGCAAAAGTCCAATTGTTAGGTCACAGTAACTTGCATTTGTAGTTTTGATAGTTATCACCAAATTGTCCATCAAAGGGGTTATAACGATCTTTTCACGAGCAACATACGAAAGTGCCTCTTCCCCACAATAAAATGTGTTATCAAACCTTTGCATTATTATGAATCTAAGAGGTGTAATTCATTTTTACTTTCAATTAGCTATTTTCTTCTGAGTGAAGTAAGACATCTTTTTAAATGCTTGAGTCATTTGTATTTCCTTTTCTTTTAGAAGTTTTCTGATTTGCTACTTTCTAAAGGGTTTTAGATCTTTTTCTTATCCCTTTTTTTTAATACATTGGGGATATCAACCCTTGTCTGTACATGGATTGGAAATATATTTTTCCAGTTTGCTCTTTGCCTTTTTACTTTATTTATGCCTTCATTTTTTTCCTTTATAGAGAAATTAAAATAAATTTAATATAGCTGCACTTACCAGGTTATTTTTTAAAATTTTTTCTTTTAATGACTTCTGGATTTAGAATAAATTGCTAAACACCAATCTGATCGTGTCACTTTTCAGATGGCTCACAACTGACCTTATCCAGCTCCTCCCTCCTGGCACACAGGAGTCTGGTCCACTTGAGCTTCTGCTTACTACATGAGCAGTATCAGTATCAGAACAGCAGTATCATACTCAAGTAACATATTCAAGAAAGAATTAAGGGAGATGAACCATCCATTAACAAGATTTTTTTCACAAACTAGAAAAGAAGTATCCTTTTATGAGTTAGAAGAATACTGTGGTTCAACTCATGGGATATCACTGTTTTGCTACAGACTTTGAGAAATACTAAAGAAATCTCTAATAGGCTCTTTACAGTTCTTAAATTCTATTATTTTAACTCTCTACTTCCCCAAGTTTGGTGTCTTTCTGGGGGAAAAAAAAGAAACAGTGCTTTGTAGAAAATGCTAACTTCTTCATTCATAGCCTGGAGAAGGGCCATTCTGACCTATGTGAGAGAGAGCTGAACTGTCTGAAGGATCCTCTGGCAGCCTCTCTGTTATCAGTTTATGGCCCTTCTTTGATAACCAAATTTGGCCTCAACTATCTCTCCTCATTTAGAGAAGATTTAAGCAATGTTGTTATTGTTGTTATGTGCCATCAAATCAGAGGGACTCATAATGACCCCTCCTTGGGTTTTCTAGGTGGTATCACTACCAAGTAAATTGCTTAACCTTCCTTCCAAAGAGTGGCTGGTGGGTTTGAACCACCAACCTTCTGGTTAGCAGTCAAGTGCCTTAGGCATTACATTACCAGAGCTCCTGATTTAAGCAATAGTATGTAATAAATCTGTTTGTGAAGAGGCATGTGGATACCTTAATTTTAAATTCCAGCTGGGAGTTAATTGTGTACATCATCTCAGTCCTTTCCATCTTCCGGGCCCCTTCATTGCACAGTCGAACCAACTGGGAACACAGAATAATGAGAAGGGTTAAAAGATCAAGGAGAATAATCTCACTTTCAAATGCAAATCTCTCCTGGGAAATGCTGAGCGAATGGGGAGTTAAAGAACTCATAGTTTCACAGGGTTAAGACACACAATTCATGGGAAGCTGTAAAATTAAAAGTGAAGACAAGAGAAAAAAGTCCTGAAAATTTTTAGAGACACATATGCTGTATGTCTTTTTATCCTATCACCCCACTCCACTCTCATCTTGGTCCTTTCTGCTTCTTTCTCTGCTCCTCCCTCCTTACTTGGCCCACAGGGACCTCTCCAACCTAAGGGCAAGCGATACCCTTTTCTCCCCTCCTCCAAATAAGAGAAGCTTAAGGAAGACTATCAAATTCAAAGACATCCTACACTGACAGAGATGCACACAAAGGGTGACCAGCAAACAGCAATGAAAGGAGGAAAGCTTTGGTTGCAGCCTGATAGCTAATCATTCTGCAAGCATGGTCAAGCTAAGAGAAATTCCATTTAATTGGAAGTTCTGAGTTATCTGCAGACTGAATGCATTCACAGTCCCTTGATAGGTTTCTAATACATACTTAGTTCATGGATCTAAGTAAAAATAAACTGCGTATTTCTTATTAACTAGAAAGTCTGTTTTAAAAAAGGAATATATATATAT